TTTGGCGATGGAATTTCGCGAGGAACGTCTTAGACGAGACGTCATAATGATGTAAAACTGTCATGAGTGAATATCATGATGTAATCATGTGTCAAAGAGGTCATGTGGCTCGCACATGAAATGCCTTTCAGAAAGCTTCTTGTCCACAAGTACGATGTGAAAGGCGTTTATTTAGACGACTGTCGAGTGTTTTTAAAGCTCTGGACTTCTTCATGCTCCTTCCTATATGATGACAAAAACCGAATTTACGGTCTCATAATTGTAATTCTGCAAGCTACTTTCTAGCTCAGAATGGCAACAGGTAAATGCAAGTATTTATTTTTACTATGCATTTATGTTCACACAAAAAATGCTGAATGCACTAACGCTAAGCGTATCCCAAATAAAATGCAATACTTTATGACATAGCAATGTCAAAAATGTTAAAGATAGCACTAAAAAGCAACGCGCTGTGCATGAATGCAAGTGCACATGCACCTACATAAACGAGAATGTGAATAAAGAAATCGCTCACGCACATGACACCAAATTGTAGCGGCATGCCGTTAAACATGTGAAGCACATATTGCGGTACATCTGACGAGTCTAATGCGCTAATGTTGACATTTGCATGAAATCAAATAAGTATGAATTGGCACAACCATCATCTAGAGCAGGATTTCTCAATCACGGGTGTTCGGACTCCTTGAGGCCGTGAGATAATATCGCATTTTCCATACATTAAAGTAGGCTAAAGTAGATTTTAACGTAAAGGTAAGCGAGGTTGCATTGTAACGTACATATTTTCGAAAAGTCTAGAACATACTCTAATGGTATACATTCATCTACACTACAGATGCTCACTGTAGTAGAATTGAGGTACAGAGTGGATGCTATGAAGAGATTTTAGAATTTTATATGGCGAAAAAAAGGTTGAGAGTGTCATTTGATTGTGTCATTTGCATGTCCTCACGGTCAATTCAGTGAATGATGCAATTATGAATAAATATGGTGTTTTTCTAATGGGTCCTTCGTTTGATTAGTAAAGTAGTACTGAGAAGACTGAATCGTTAAAATGTCGAGACGAGAGATTGAATTGCACAACCGAATACAATTGAAGAAATGTTGCGATTCACAACTTAAAATTATCTTAATCCCCACTGCAAAGCGCATTCTGTGGGAACGAGTTAAAAATTTGATTGCTTGACCATATTTCTTTTTTTGCGAAGCGTTTGTTTAAGGAATCATCACTTAAGATGATTGTGGAATCAAAATTGTAGTGATGTTATCTTCATATTGAATTAGCGTTTTTTTCAGATTTTACTTTGGTATGAGCGCATGACTGCCGTCTTGATGGCAGCAGAATGGTGCCAAAATTGATAAGAGAAATTTTTATTCGATCTAAAATGAGCAAATGAACATTTTATGGAGTTGAAGAGCAGTGGAAGTCATAAGATTCTTTTGGATTGGTTTTCAATTGTATGAGGATTGAATTTTCTAACAGTCGACAAAATGAATCAACGGCATTTCACTGGAAATAATTGGAAAACATTATTACTATCAATAAAGAAGATGATAATTTTGAGTATAGCGCAAAAAAAGCCTATGAATATCACAGTTGCAATAAGGATAATAATGCACGAATATTGGATGAGAAGACTTTCTGATTCGATATTAATAATAATCATAATGTAAATTTGATCCATCGATGAAGAGTGTAAAATTCAAATGACATTATTATGACTTTAATTATCCTTTGTAATACGTCTGATTTTTCAAATTTTGTTCATTTCATTTCTTCGATAATTGCGGCATTGCTCCCATCTGCAATTGATCATATGAGGATTCGTGTTTAATTTGATTTGCCAACTTACAGCTTTCATAACGCTTAAATGAAATTCAGAAAGTGAGAAGCTCGATTTTGATTTTCCGGAATGCAATGAAATTCTGGATGAGGGCAGTTTTGTGGATGGTGAATTCCGTTTTTCAGGATGAAAATGGCTTCGGAACAGCGATCCACATTGCTCGGCGAATGATGGATGATGAACCTGGAGCACATCGTCGGGTGTAATAGTATCCATGGGTAATTTGATAGCGTCCGGTTTGGTCTTCTTTTTGAAAACATCTTTGGGATCGATGTCACGCTCGTTGCAAGTCACATAATGGAATACCAACTTGTCGACTTTGGCTGGTCCTCAAATGAATGCACATTTTGGATGGGTCGGTTGAGCGGTTAGATGAGTTATTGATGGGAATAGTCATTATTATCATCAGCAGTATCAATTCCTAGCAGTGATATCAGCCTATCACTGACCTGGAAGCCTGGTGATGACAAGGTTGTTGCATGAACCCGCCTCAACGAACATATAGACCGGGCAAACTCTGAATAAACTGTTATCACTACATCGCACCTGGAATACGAGCAATTAGAGTCAGACGAATGACCATTTAATAATAAACAGTAGTGAAGAGTAGCATGACTGTATAAATTTGGTACTTGATAATATTTGAAAATTGCGTTTATTTAGTTCGATTGCGTTTATTTATTTAGCAACTAGTAGAATATTTTAACAACTNTCACTACATCGCACCTGGAATACGAGCAATTAGAGTCAGACTAATGACCATTTAACAATGAACAGTAGTGAAGAGTAGCATGACTATATAAATTTGGTACTTGATAATATTTGAAAATTGCGTTTATTTAGTTTGATTGCGTTTATTTATTTAGCAACTAGTAGAATATTTTAACAACTAGAAGCTAATTTGATTGATCGATGATCAGTGAATGATTAAAACTTTAAACTGATTACAATTCCTTGTTGTGTTCTCTTTTTATTTGAACATGAGCCAGGAACGCTTGTCAAGTGATTATAAATTGATCTGACGAATTCACTGATAAAAATTGCATCATTTCTCGCTAAAATGATAGCGAAAAAGGAAACGTCCGCTATGAATACTGAACAGGTGACAATAATGGAACAGAATTCATAGTTTCGACATGATGAATGAGTAGAGGAAGAGTGGGATGGATAGGAATGAGTAGGGTGTATTTGACGGATGATAATTGCAACTGGCCTTAACTGCGACCCGCTTCTCGCCTGTGTTGACTAGCATATGCTCGGATTTACCACCACTTATCAGAAAATGTGCTGCATCCGGATCTATCGATAGCACCGGCTCGGCTTCTTTCGGCGTCGTATTCGATGCGGTTGTTGCTGTGGCCATTATGATTATTATGCTTATTAATATATGATATCTTATCAGATCAACAAGCTATGCAGCGCGATTGTATCAATGTGATGATGGTCTTCTAGAGCAATCGATTCGATTCACACTGACTGATTCGGTTGATTAACTGCAAACGTTTGATCAAAGTATGTTGGTGATAAAAGTAACATAGGGATTAATTGTTGGAAGTTATTTCTTGTGATTGATAGAGATGATCGGATGTGATGGCGATATTGGAGTGATCCACTTCTCACCGAATAATTGATAAAGCTTAAAAAAACCAGTGAACGCTTTTTGATTCACAGAATAAAATCGTTTCTGAAGAATATCACCCTCATAAGAAACAATTCGTATAAATGAATCTAAAATCTAACCTATTAAATAGAGGCAAGAAGCCGTAATGGGCTTTCTAACACAAACAAAGGTTTAAACAATGGCTAGAACCAGATGAGATATGGTCAATTAAGACGATTATTTGGAAATTCGAAATTTGCGTCAATTTCTAGACGGCGGCAGATCTCTTATGTAAATGTTGTTGTTGCTGTGCTCATACTTGAACTTTGAAATTTTAACTTGGAATAATTAGGTCGAGGACCGTTGATAGTGTAGAATTCGTGAGCGCAGAAGATCGGTAACCACTAAATGCGAAACTCGTCGATCTTGGGGCGTCTGAGATTGATTTTGCCACAACGGTTGCGTTAGGAATGCTCGAGCCGGATTTTGCCCTCGTCCTAATCCTAATCTGCTGCATTGATTTGATTGAAGTTCGTGTAGTCAGTATTGAAAAATGACCATGAACATTGCAATGACCATCAGTTCAATCGTTAAAATTCCTTCTCGTTCATCCTCTAGGTGACGTGCCCATAAAAATTGTGCATCGAAAATCGAGCATCACGCACAAATCCTGTGAATTGAGCATGATCAGTGACACACTGAAAGGGCAATTGCTAGCACGTGAATTGATAGAGCTGCTGATCGATTTGCCATGCGACATTCGATGCTACCTGAAGCTTAGAATGAATTTGGACACAATCGACACAAAATTCATTTCGAACCAATCAAAAACACAAAGAGTAACAATTCAATTGTAACATCTGAATACTTGTTCAATTGATTATATGGCATTGTATTATGTGTAAGATGATATATTCAGTTGAATGTATCTATTTGTATGTGTTTCATGCAAATTTTTCTATTTATGCTATCAGATGCAAAGATTATGACTGAACAATGATTGTGTAATGCGGTTCAGCACATCAAAATGTGTAAGAGGACTTTTACAGCACATCAAAATATGGGGCACAATGTGGTGAGAACATTTGATATTTCAATTCAAATTTTTATGTTCAAAGATCTGGGAATTGTGAAGTTTGCAAAGATTCTAAAGATCCTAATTTGGATTTGGATCGAAATAATGAATTAATTCAATTTTGGATCTGTAACTTTAAAGGAAAAGTTGAGGTTTAAAATGGAATTTTTGAATAGTTTGAACCATACTGTTATTTCGTTTCAGTGCACTAGAAAATAAGGAAATTCCGTATGAATGATTTGCTTCTTATATGTGTCTCAATTAAAGAATCTTCATAAGATGTTTTTCCAGATTGCTGGCTGATCGTGAATGGGAAAGGATTGAATGACTAAGAACTGTAGAACAAAAGAAGCGTTAATCAACGGGGTTAAGAAGGCGATCGAAATGTCATTCATGCAAAGTGATTCGATTATTATGAATAGCTGAATAGATTGTGTAATGTCGATGATTAGTTTGAGATGCCACGCAAAAATATTACTCATTGAAACACAAGAGGATAATGTTCGTTCTGAATAGAGACTTTATCAGATTCATAAATCAAAGAAAATTGTCGACAAACTTTCGCTTGCAAACATGACATTTCCATGTTTCAATCTAAAACAACACTGAACTTAACGGTAATTGATGTAAGAAAAAAGTTTGAAAAATCTCAAAATAACAGAGCAAAAAGCATCAATCGATTCAAATGTCACGAAATGTTGTTACGTCAAAAATTCATGGCAATCTGCGTGGAAATACAAAGCGCTGTATTGTTTTGTATGAACAGTGATAAATGCTCAATGAATTGACCTTCCTAAGACAAAGGATCTTTGAAAATTATTGCGAAATGGAAAAAGAAAAAGGAAGCAAAATTAATTAAGACATGGAAGTCGGCATGTTCGATTCAGATGAGAACGTTCATTCCATTACAGAGTTCAATCTGAGAAGAGATTATAAATGTGAAATAAAGCTGTTCTCCCGTCTCTGTGTCATCATGCCACAGCTTCCAATTCACTCCACAAATCTGATGTCACTTGCAATATGTGATATTCTCATATGTATTGGAAACGAGACACTCTCATGGGTATGGACGACCAATTTGGTAGAACAAGTATAGATGTGCGACGATTGCAAGAATTGAATAATCTTGCAAAATTCTGAAATTTCCATTGGAAATAATCCTCCAAGGTTGGGAGAAAAATGTTCGCGAGGATTGCATCAGCTCAATTATTCAATTCAAGCTGAAATAAAATTGAATGCGGTGCTATGATTTACGGAAGAATCGATAAACGAGAATGCTTTTTGAAATGAATGAAGTCTGTGGAAGATGAAAAGACAGAAAAGTATTGTGGGCTTGGAAGCGCCTTAAAACGCTCTTGAATGTAGGTAAGACGAAGGCGATATCAACAAAATGGCATCATTTTAATGGGATTTACGTCATCGGTTAAGACTTAAATCATCTTACGATTGATGAACTAACCGAATTAATTCCCTTCTTGATTAACTGCTTTCTCATGGTGCATTCGATTCGTCATTCGAATCATCAGGCC